GGGGGATGAGGCTAGTAGGAAGGAAGGGGGGGTGGGGGTTGGTCAGTGAGTTGGGAGGAACGGATAGTTGAGAGAAAAGACGGACAGGTCAAGGAAGCGAGGACGAGCTGGGCTGGTCTTGGGATGAGGTTGAGGGTGGGTAGATTTTGAAGCTTGTGAAGTCTACATTGAGATCATTGAGCTGCAGGGTTCCCAAGCAAAATATGAGATGCTGTTCCTCCAGCCTTCGGGTGGCATCGTTGTGGCACTGGAGGAGGCCTAGGATGGACATATCGTCCAAGGAGCGGGAGGGGGAGTTAAAGTGGTTCGTGACTGGGAGGTGTAGTTGTTTGTCACGAAACAAGCATAGGTGCTTGTTCAGAAAGCGGTCTCCAAGTCTCTGCTTGGTTTCCCCGATGTAGAGGCGGCCACATCGAGAACAGCGGATACAGTATATCACATTAGCAGATGTGCAGGTGAACATCTGTTTAATGTGGAAGGTTTTCGTGGGACCTGGGATGGAGGTAAGGGGGGTGGTGTAGGGGCAGGTTTGGCATTTCCTGCGGTTGCAGGGAAAAGTGCCAGGGGTGGTGGGGCTAGTGGGGAGTGTGGAGCGGACAAGGGAATCACGGAGAGAGCGGTCCCTCCAGAAGGCAGATAAGGGTGGGGAGGGAAAAATGTCCTTGATAGTGGGGTCAGATTGCAGGTGGCAGAAGTGGCGGAGGATAATGCATTGAATTCGGACGTTGGTGGTGGGGTGGGGACAAGCTTCAAAATCTCCCCACCCCCGACCTCATCCCAAGATGACCCCAGCTCGTCCCCGTCTCCTTGACCTGTACATCTTTTCTCCCACCTACCCGCTCCTCCAACCTCACTGAACAACCCCCATCCCCATTTCCTACCTACTAGCCTCATCCCTGCCTCCTTGACCTGTCCATCTTTCCTCCCACCTACCTGCCCCTCCCTCCCAACTGACCAACCTCCATCCCAATCCCCTACCTACACTCACCTTTACTGGGTCCATCCCCATCTCCTTGACCTGTCCGTCTTCTCTCCACCAATCTGCTCCTCTATCCACCTTCTATCACCGCCTCCCCTTCTCTCTATTTATTTCAGAGTCCCCTTCCCCTCCCCCATTTCTGAAGAAGGGTCCAGACCCGAAACATCAGCTTTCCTGCTCCACTGATGCTGCTTGGCCTGCTGTGTTCGTCCAGCTCTACGCCTTGTTATCTCAGACTCCAGCATCGGCAGTTCCTACTAAGTGAGGTTGTTGCTTGACTAGTGTGAATACCCTCCCAGTTTTGAGTGAAGCATCATAAGAGGTAAACACATTGAAGCATTTAAAATACCTCTGCCCCTTGGTTAGGTTGTAGCAGGACAAAGAGCTTCCATGCCTGATCTGTCATGAGAAAGAACAGAAAAATAGAGAACCATTGAGTTGGTCAGGACTTAAAACAGGCTGAAGTACTCCTCCCCCTGAAGTTGGCAACACTCTTTCTTCCCTTTGCACATTGTTTTGAATCCACCCCAAATCCTTATCCCCGCCCAATTTGCCAAACACCCCTTATCCTCCATATTGATGCTCTTGGATTCAGCTCCAGAAACATCCAGGGAACCCATTATGGAGTGCTGCCAGGACTGCTGAACCTACTGGTCAGTCTAATTGGCCAGCAGCTCCTTGGAGCAGGACTTCTTCCCCAGTGAGTGGAGGGGTGGGCGTTTCATTAGGAGCTCGTTTAGACAGCCCAAAGTGCTTTATGGCTGTGGGGCACATTTCCAATTGGCTAGTTAGGTGTCTGCCAGCTTTTCTTCCAAGCTGTCTGATTCCTGCCCTGTAAGTTTCTGCCTCTTTCTTAATGTGCTACTCCTTTTTAGTTAAATGCCATGTACATGCTGTTAAATGCACTATTTGATATACTAATATAGAACTGAATTGTTAATGATAGGCAGCTCTAACTTTGTCTAATCCCATGACACACAAAACAAAATACTCATTTCAGTTGACTAGGCCTTTCTATTTTCTTTACAACATCAGCATTACTTCTCAATCCCAGCGCACATGGCTACATGCCTCACATAAGTGATATCCAACTGCACTTTGAACAATCCCAAGAGTATTTAATTTGGGAGATTTCAGGCAGCTCACCAATATCTAAACAAAGAAATTAGTTAATTTAGTAGACGCAGCGATATGTTAGGACTGCAGTTAAAATAAACAGATTAATCCATGTGCACTCAAATGTGTTCATGTTATAGCTTTATTTTTGCTACTTTGGGTGATTGTGTCAAGTGGGCTTTGTAACCTGAGTTTGTATTTTAGATGTTTTTAAAATGTTATAAATATTAAATTGCCAAGAAGTTGTCATTTGTGTCCCTCACTACTTAAATTTAGTCAACGTTTTCAACAACAGAGGAGCCTCTGCACTATGATTATTACTGAATGTGAATTAAGAAAACGTCTGCTGCAAAGTGGTTTGGTTCCAATTCATAGGGTTCTGAAAAGATTGTGCCTGTATCTTGGTAAAAAACTAAAGTTATGCTGATCTCACTCTGCCTCTTTCATTGAGACAGAAGATGGAAACTTCTCCACTCAGTGCCTGTTGGAAAGGTGGGGACTATTTTTGGGTTAGAAGCCCAGTTTACTGACTTTGTGTGTCCTACCATTTCACTTCCCAAAGCAAGGTACATATTTCCTGTTTCTTCATTCACTGACTAATTAAGGAAGGGAGAGATGTGCACTATCAAAGATTAGAATTCTAGTTCAAAGAACCACAGCATAATTTGCAGTGCTCTACCAGGACTTGGATTTGGAAGCTACAGCGACCAGAGGAATGGAGAGGAGACAAGAGAACGCTGCTCCTGTAACTCTTGGAGGTTATGTTCCATTTGAGGGACTGCCTGGAAATCAGCTCTCTCTTGATGAAGTGTTCTTGACCACTCTATCCACCTGCATTGCCACCTTCAGGGTACAATGGACCTGAATACCCAGATCTCTCGGTGCATCAATTTTCCCCAGGGCTTTTCCATTTACCACATAGTTCGCTCTTGAATTGGATCTTCCAAAATGCATCATCTCGCATTAGCCTGGATTGAACTCCATCTGCCATTTCTCCGCCCAACTTTCCAATCTATCTATATTCTGCTGCATTCTCCGACATTGCCCTTCACTATCTGCTACTCCACCAATCTTAGTGTCATCTGCAAACTTGTTAATCAGACCATTTATACTTTCCTCCAGATCATTTATGTATATCACAAACAGTGGTCCCAACACAGATCCCTGTGGAACACCACTGGTCACAGTTCTCCATTTTGAGAAACTCCCTTCCACTACAACTCTCTGTTTCCTGTTGCCCAGCCAGTTCTCTATCCATCTAGCTAGTACACCCTGGACCCCATTGTGACTTCACTTTCTCAATCAGCCTACCATGGGGAACCTTATCAAATGCCTTACTGAAGTCCATGTATATGAAATCTACAGCCCTTCCCTCATCTATCATCTTTGTCACTTCCTCAGAGAATTCTATCAAGTTGGTAAGACATGACCTTCCCTGCACAAAACCATGCTGCCTATCACTAATAAGCCCATTTTCTTCCAAATGTAAATAGATCCTATCCCTCAGTATCTTCTCCAGCAGCTTCCCCACCACTGACGTCAGGCTCACCGGTCTATAATCACCTGGATTATCCTTGCTACCCTTCTTAAACAACAGGACAACATTAGCAATTCTCCAGTCCTCTGGGACCTCACCCATGCTCAAGGATGCTGCAAAGATATCTGTTAAGGCCCCAGCTATTTCCACTCTCACTTCCCTCAGTAACCTGGGATAGATCCCATCCGGACCTGGGGACTTGTCCACCCTAATGCATTTTAGAATACCCAATGCTTCCTCCCTCCTTATGCTGACTTGACCTACAGTAATCAAACATCTATCCCTAACCTCAACATCCATCATATCCCGCTCGTCAGTGAATACCAACACAAAGTACTCATTAAGAATTTCACTCATTTTCTCTGACTCCTTGCATAACTTCCCTCCTTTGTCCTTGAGTGGGCCAACCCTTTCTCTAATTACCCTTTTGCTCCTTATGTATGAATAAAATACTCATCATACTCATGATCATACTCATGATCATGAAGGGCTGGGAGAAGGAGGTGAGAATTCACATCCGTTACCATATCTCTACAATCTCTTTCAGCCCCTACACACCATCCTTCATCCACAACACCCCTCCCTTTCGCTGTAACCTCCTCCTGTCCCTACACACCTCCCTATCTCTGTCAGCTCCTCTAGTCCCTACATCCCTCCCTATCTCTGTATCATTCTCCAGCAGGTACATCCCCCCCCCTAGATATGGAACCAGACATAGACAATGTGGTGTATGGGTGATGGGAGTGTCATGATTCTTTGTGCCAAGCCTTAGTAATACCCAGTAAACATCTGTCACTATTGTTCACTCACTACCGATCACCAAGGCCTGGGAGAAGCTGCTCAATCAGGGAACTGAAAATTTGCATCAGTTACCACGCCTCCCTATTTCTGTAACCTCCTTCAGCCCCAACACACCACCCTATCTCTGTAACTTCATTCATCCACAACACCTCTCCCTACCTCCTCCAGCATCCACTTCTCTCCATATGTTTGTAACCTCCTCCAGACCCTAGACCCCTCCCTATTTCTGTTTCCTCCTCCAGCATATGCCCTTTCCTATTGCTGTATACTCCTGCAGCCCCTTCAATACAGGCTATCTCTGTAACATCAAGTGTGTCAGAGATTCATCATGTCCGCAAAGATTGCTCATCAGTGACAGATACTCAGATTTTGTTTAATTTAGAGGTACTGGGATAAAACACTCTCCCCATCACAGAGTTTCCCTTCTGCCCTTCTTTCTACCTTCCACCTGAGGTACAAGGCGGAATGCAGGCAGTTCCTTCACACATAGTGTTTGTACATTATCACTCATAGAGACACAGAGACACAGAAACACAGAAGGACCATCAATCCCACAGCCTTAGACAGAGACAGTGTTCTGTCCCACTCTGATCCCACATTCCAGGGACATATTTTTATTCTAACACTCAAACAGAGCAAGAGAGATAGAAATTATTTCCATTACTCTCCAAACTGGTCTGTAAACAAATCCCAGCCTGTAATCACATCAACTATAAGATCGAAAAGGAGTGTGTTATTCTCTCAATAGTAACCCACATTAATCAATTGAACAATTCGCTATAGAGATTTATAATTGGAAAAGCTGCTTACTTCAGATGCTGTGAACATTAAATAAAAGCAATGGCTGCTGGAAATACTCAGTCATTTCCTCTGATGAAAGGTTATTGGCTGGAAACATTCATTCTGTTTTTCTCTCTACAAATGCTGTCTGGCCTGCTGAGTATTTGCAGCACTTTCTGTTTTACATCATGTAGATTTGCTCCATGTTCAGAATTCACACAAGTTATTTAATTAAAGCAGATATTCTCAAAGAGTTCAGGTTATTTTTAATTGATATACCACGTAGAAAACTATTTGTACATTACAATATTAAAGATACAATTGCAAACACAAATATGGAAATAAACATTTAATATATGTAGATAATCCATTAGACATACAAAGAATAACAGAGACCCTGCATGCAAATTGAATCTCACTCTCATGTACAATATCAAAGACTGGGAGATAAGCTTCAAAATTCATACAATCAATAATATTCACAGATGTAAAGAGAGAGGGGGTTACTTCCAAATCTGAAAGTAAACCTTCCTCAATACTGTCCCTATTAAACACTCACAGGACAGGTACAGCATGTGGTTAGATACAGAGTAAACTCCCATTATGCTGCTCACATCAAACGCTCCCAGGGCACGTATAGCATGGGGTTAGATAGTGTAAAGCTCTCTCTACACTGTTCCCAAGGCAGGAACAATATGAAGTTAAATGCAAAATGAACCTCCCTCTACACTATCTTCATCTTGCTTTCTCAGCATAGGCCACTGTAATTTAGACATAAAGTAAATCTCCTCTGCTCTATCCACATCAAACACTCATCAGTCCAAGTCAAGTAGATGTTGTTATACTGAGTAAATCTCTCTCTTTACACTGTCCCCAGGGCAGATACATCACGAGATTAGACACAGTATAAAGAAACATTGCGCAGTGACCAATATCTTCTTTCACTCTCTGCTTCTGGTCACCTCTTGGTCTGTATCTCTCTTCTCACTTTGTATGCTTGTAACTTCTCTTTCACTCTCCCTCTTTCCTGAAGGTTTGAATGTTCCCAATGGTTTCACTGTAACAATGGACCCGAACATCCTTCTGTTTAAGAGAGAAAACATTAACACACTGGCCCCAATGCCTTGAAGGAGACTTTTGCAATATGTCTTAGGAGGGATAGGGTTCAAATCCAATCACCACACTGTCACAGTGACTGCAGACCTGAGATCGAACTCTGAATGTTGTATCAATATTCCGGGAGCTGTTCAGCTCCAGGAGCCTGCATACATCTCCCTCTCCATCCCTGTTTCAAGCATGGATTAAGACCATGAGAATGTCATAGCAGAAGTAGCCATTCAGCCCATTCAATGAGATTCTGGCTGATGTTATGATCCTTAGCTCCGCTTTCCTGCCTTTCCTCAGAACCCTTGATTCCCTTCCGGATTAAAAATCTGTCGCTTTCATGTATGAGACATGATTGTAGGAGGTCTGACTATGATTTGGCTACGACCTGTAACCTCAGGGTCATCTAGCATAACGTTCTTATCCAACACAAATGACAGCTGCTCCTTCAGTTAATTGCTACTTGCTCGCTCTCATGGATATATGACCATGAGATTTAAATTGCCTGAACTACACAACTTCCTTAATGGACATGTCTCTTAAACTGCCTATCTAAGCTGTTTGCTGTCTCCCTTATACCATGCTCCAGCGCATTCTTTGACCTTATCCCCATCTACCCTTCTTCAGGAGGGAAGACTTAAAGGTCCTCAACTTCCAGCATTAGTCTGGCCTGCTGTAAGGTGGCCATAGAGGAGAGTCAGCACTACAAACGTTTATGCTCAGTGAGATCTTCTGATGATTAGTTTGTGCAGTTCTGCAGAAAATACAAAAAGATAATCTTTTCTTTTACTGAAATGAATATTATTGTCATGAGATAGGATAGCGAGAAAAGTAAATGCCAATATGGAAAACAAAAAATGTTCTTCCTTTGAAAATTCCTCAATTTTCCAAAGTGTTTGCTTAAGAGAATTCATCTCATGGATTTATGTACATACTATAATGCCAACACTTACAAAAAAAACAAATAATACCTCTTAGCTGAGGTGTTACTGTGTTTTAAGACTAATACAACAATTCAGAATCAAATATGTTATGAGTAATGAGATAACAAGGTGTAGAGCTGGATGAACACAGCAGGCCAAGCAGCATCAGAGGAGCAGGAAGGCTGACGTTTCGGGTCTAGACACTTCTTCAGAAATGGGGGAGGGGAAGGGGATTCTGAAATAAATAGGGAGAGAGGGGGAGCGGACAGAAGATGGATAAAGGAGCAGATAGGTGGAGAGGTGACAGACAGGTCAAAGAGGCAGGGTTGGAGCAAGTAAAGGTGAGTGTAGGTGGGGAGTTAGGGACAGGATAGGTCGGTCCAGGGAGGATGGACAGGTCAAGGAGGCTGGATGAGGCTAGTGGGTAGGAGATAGGGGTGGGGCTTGAGGTGGGAGGAGTGGATAGGTGGGAGGAAGGACGGACAGGTTAGGGAGTCGGGGATGAGCTGGGCTGGTTTTGGGATGCGGTCGGGGGAGGGGAGATGTTGAAGCTTATGAAGTCCATAATTGCATTATCAAAACAGACAAAATGACACAAATAGTATGCGTATAGTCAGAAATAAAATACTGTTGGTGTCATTAGATCTTTAACCTTTAACGAGACGACCAACACTGCTCAAATAATAAACACATCACATTTCCACTCTAAAGCCACTTCTGGATTTCTGCAGCAAGTGCAGCTGTTCTTCTCCATTGGAAGTAAATGAATTCTCTCCGATCCTAGTTGCATAGAAAATGAACAGAATGCAGAAAATATAAATGCTAGGGAAATAACATTTCAATGACAAACAGAGACATAAAAAACATACAATGCCAAAATTCCATTCATATTTGTACTGCCTGAATTGTACAAGAAGCCAGGGTCAACTTGAGAGGAGAAGTAAGGCTGAGGCAACTTCCACAATGGGCAGCAGTTGGACAGCAATCGATATGACAAAAGGGGTTGTGATCGGTCTTGGCCTCAAACTGATCACATAGAAAGAAATGAGGAACCTGGGGAGATACTGCAACTTTAGGAAGTAAGCTTAGCTTTTACAATAAAACTTAAATATGCCAAAACATAGAAGAGGATTAAAGATGAACTGATGCATTTGCAACATTCCAAAAATAACAAGGCAGGAAAGAGCTGAAATGTCTGTAATAAATATTGATGATGTAGTGTGATATATGTAATAGAAACAAGAAATGGAGGAGGATATTCATTTCTGTGAGCCTGCTATACCATTAACTAAGATCATGAGAAAGCATAATATTGTTGTTTAATGAAAACATAGATAATGAGAAAATAAAAGAATCTAGCAATTGGCCATGTTGGGAATTTGTGCAAATAGATGCAGGGAAAATCACAAGGAACAATCAATGACACGATACACAGATTAAGAATCATTCAAAATTAAATGTACCTCTGAAACAACTGACAAAGGAAGGAAGCAAAGGTTTATGGAGTGGAGTTTTTACAACATATTCAGGACTTAAGACTTATCTATTAGCTCCATAGCGCACCAGGAGTGGAATCATGGCGACACCCAAAGTTGAAGATGCACTGCATTATGAAAGAAAAAATTTCAAGAATGGACACTGTGCAGCAGTGCTAGTTACAAAACATTACAAACAGAATTAACAAAATGAAAAGTAATGCCAAAATAAAAAATGCCAGGGGAAGATGAGCATGAGATTTTGCAAAAGGCAACAAGAAGAGAATATTAAGTGAAAGGAAAATACTGGAAGCTAAGTGAAGTACAAAAGAACACAAGAGGTGAAAGGTGAGATAGACCATATGGTCTTTGGGACCTGATCTAATTGCTCTATTCTTGGTTCTTCTTGGTCTTCTACAGCAGATCCAGCTTCTTGAAATTTCAGCATACACCTTCAATTCCTTCGGAATCAAGCCAATTGACCTCTGTTTTGATTGGAATCAATGACTAACCATCTATGTCTGTCTCAGGTAGATTTCGCGGACAATACTTCTTGAGCACCGAAATGTCTCTTTACCACTGTTCAAAATTATTGACCTCATATTTTGGGAATATGACATATGCTCAATAAGCTGGTCAATGAAAACATTTTCTCCAAGTTTATCATGTCAATCTCCTGAAAGGTTATTGATGTTTGAATCAAATCATATAATTTTCTAAAACTCCAAATGGTTATTGAAATAGTAGAATGAACATATTCATCTTAATTCTTCTCTTCGCTTTTTATCTGTGAAGTAACTCTTTATGCATTTTAATGTATTAGCTCATTGTCGTGAGTCAAAATTGTATCATATCCCTTTACTACATTCGTTAATGATGGTCAGTTTAGCTCAGTTGACTTACAAAGTGGGCTCAGTTCCCATCACCAACTGAGGTTACCAGGAAAGGCACTCCTTCCCAACCCTTCCCTTTGCCGGAGGTATGGTTCCCCTCAGTTTAAATCACCATCAGTTGTCTCTCTTTAATGAGACAGCAGCCTTATGATCTGGTAAGACTGTGATACTGACTTGACATTCATTACTTCCCGCTCATCATTCTTACTAGTTAACTCTGCAAGACAATTGTTCCATTTTGCCAGACAGCATTTTTAAAAATGTAAATCCATGCTGACTGCTCAATCGTTTTTTAATATTTAAATAATTTTGTCAACAGAAATGTTAATGGCGATATGGTCTATAGTTTCCATTTCTCTTTTCTCGTCACTTGTTAAATGTTTGTGTTATCTTTGTTATCTCCCAATCCTTACAAAGTCCTCTAGAATCTGAAACATTCTGGAAAATCAAACAATTCATGCACCATCTTTACACCTATAACTTTTTAAGCCACTGTCTGGTTCAGGGGTTTGTTGATGCTGAGACCCATTATATTTTCCAGTCTACATCTTCATTAAACTTGCATCTTCATGGTTTCCTGAATGCAACTGTGTTGCATTCCGAAAGAACTGCGGATGCTGTAAATCAGGAACAAAAACAAATTTTCTGGAAAAACCCAGCAGGTCTGGCAGAATCTGTGAAGGAAAAAACAGAGTTGAGGTTTTGGGTCTGGTGAATCTTCCTCAGAACCGATCACCGGACCCGAAACATTAACTCTGTTTTTTCCTTCACAGATTGCTGCCAGACCTGTTGGGCTTTTCCAGCAACTTTGTTTTTGTTCCTGATTTACAGCATCCGCAGTTCTTTCGGTTTCTACCTTCTTTTTGTTGGCTCCAGGTGGATGATCTTTAAGAAAGATGAGACTTTAAGAAAGCTATATTTGTTGAGCATTATGTGCCAGGCCTTCAGACATTCAGCATTGTTTGTTGTTCAGAATATTTTTAGCATAGATTGATGATCCAGATTAAATTAATCTCCAAAACTGTTATTAATCAGGAAAGGCTGAACAGATTGATCCTTCAAGAGAAGTAGTCTTCAAAGAGAAACTGAACAGTGTGCAAACAGCCAGTATTGTAAAGACATAGAAAATAATTAATTTGAAGTTCTGAAAAATCTAGTGACCACGAATATAAGAGAGTCGCCAATAAGTACAATTGGATATTCAGCAGAAACTTATCTTCACAATTAATGCACTAGAATGGCAGCATGCTGGCTCAGTGGTTAGCATCACTGCTGCACAGTGCCAGAGACCTGAGTTCAATTCTACCCAAGTTCTCCCTGTGTCTGTGTGTTTTTCTGCCAGGCACTCTGGTTTCCTCCCACATTCCAAGGCGTGCACGTTAGGTGGATTAGCCATGCTATATTGTCCACAGCGTTCAGGGATGTGTAGGTTAGATATGTTAGTCATGGGAAAGGGGGATAGATCTGGCTGGCGTGCTGCTTGGAGGGTCAGTGTAGACTTGTTGGGCTGAATGACCCGTTTCCACACTGTGGGGATTCTATATATAAAAGAAATGTGGAATCTGCACACAGCAGAAAATAATTGTGATAGAAATTTGAGCAGTCATAGCAAGGGGTTTATAAGGGAGGACTCTTCTGATAGTGTTAGATGAAGATAGAGGTTCATATGGAACATAAATATTAGATACAACCTGGTTCTATTGTAAGCCATGGAATTACATTGAAAAGAAGCAGTACTCACCAGATACACTGCAGACTCTCACAATTCAGTATGAGGTGGCTGAGAGCAGGAATAGATTGGTCAGTTAAGGAGTTTGACCACAGCGACAAAACTGTCAGTGACCGGCTTGTACTGAGAGCAGATGCAAGAACCTTGATACAGGAATCTGTGAGTGCATTATCAGCTAATCTGAACAGAGAATTCAAGAAACAGAAAGTAATGACAATGGTCTGTGTATGAACAAATGTATATTTGTTCTTTCACTAATAATAATGCCAGTGAACAGTTTTAAAACTAGAAAATCAAAATAAGAATGAAACTAGGCTAAGTCTGCTACATACCTCAATTCCTGTATTTTACAGTCTGGCTTTCTCAGGCTATCAGATAACAATATTACTCCTGAGTCTCCAAGTTTATTATTGTTCAGGTTCAGCTCCGTGAGGGACCGGTTTGTACTCAGAGCAGAAGTGAGATCTTTGACACAAGAATCTGTAAGCTCATTATCATTCAGACTATCAGTAAGAAATCAAAAAAAAAGCAATGAATAAAAGGAGGATTATTCATGCAAACAATACTAATCTTCAAAATACAGAGATCAGAGCCTGTTAGCCTGTCTTGTTTACGGTTTACTCAGCTCAAGTTGTGTTAGGACATCTCATGATGATGAATCACTCTCATACTCACGCAAGTTTCTGTATTTCACAGTCCAAGTGCTTCAGAGCCACAGATAAGTGTTTTACTCCAGAACATCCCAAATTATTATAACCCAGGTACAGGCCCTTCAGTGACCGGTTTGTGCTGAGAACAAAGCTGAGATTCTCAGTACAAGAAGCTGTGAGACCATTGTCAGCTAACCTGAAAACGATAGTGACAGTGAAAGTTGGTAAGGTCGATCGGGATTTATGTAGCAGATAAGCAATGATGAGCATCATTATAGTAGGTACAAATTAAACTATTGCTGATAGTAATAATGATCTAAAATGGTGGTAATCAGTTATTATACAGTTGATTATGCACCGTCTTATACTCACCCCAGTGCCTCAATTTTACATTTTGGGTGCTTCAGAACCAAGCACAGTAATTGCATTCCCGAGTCATCAAGATCATTTCCCTCCAACCTTCAAATAAACATAAAGTAGGTAGAAATGTGCTGAAACATATCATAGATATGCTGGTTTTATTCAACTCTTTCTAACCATTGTTATAAAAACATTACAATAAGTGGAGGCAGAGTGGAGACATAAAGTGGAGGTGGAGGTAGCTTTTACGAGGAGACATAGTTTTGAAGTGAAAGAAGGTAGATATCAGGGAGACGTCAGAGGTAGGTTCTTTACTCAGACAGTGGTAGGGGCGTGGATGCATTGCCGGAGAGGTAGTGGAGTCGGCCTCATTAGGGGCATTTAAGCGGCTATTAGATAGGCATATAGATGAGGTATGAGGTAGTGGTGGAGATTAGATAGACCTTAGGTTTCGGGTAAAAGTTCGGAACAACATCGTGGGCCGAAGGGCCTGTACTGTGCTGTACTGTTCTATGTTCTATGTTCTAAAAGATTGATAAGCCAGTTTTGCTGTCTTTGCCAATAAGACTGGGCTATTTCTAGCCTGAGGAGTATATGATATACTTCAAAACATTAAATGTCAGTCAGCAAACTCCTACTCCATGGAGTACCATCAAGTGAGAAACAAATTGTAATTTCTATTATTGATTTCACCGTGGGATTCTGATGTGAATACACCTGCTCTTCCCCTAAGCAAATATAGTCACAACTTCATGTGTGTGTACTTTGTATATCGTGTCAATCTGAAAAACACTTTCAAATGAGGCATAATTTGAAACAAAGAGAGCAGATGCCACATAATCTGGTCGATGTTTTATATAATGAAGATAATGCGTGATTTGTATGCAATCTGAAAGCATTGAAAGACCATGCATAGAGCGAAGACAATTTCATACTTTCACTTTGAATTGAACTCTCTGATTTCAGTCTGGTTAATCAAATATTTTGAGCAGTTTTTATTAAAATTCTCTTCCTGGGTTAGACATATGACAGGGTCCTTTTCATTTATATTCTCTATGCATTGACCAAGGTGTTTTTCGAAAGTGCGTACAGTGCAGCCTGACCAGATTGTCATTATTTAGTGTGCTGATTTGGGAATAGTTTACAAACTATTCTTTCTGATCCAAGGAAGATATCCCATAGATAGGATAAATCAGGTCACAGCTCCATGTTACATGTAATAAATCAGACAAAATATTAGCCATGATTCCACAGGGGGCACCTTTTTAGCATCATTAATCTGGTCAATCTGGCAATTTTTTTCCAATTTTAGATCCTTATTTGTAATATATTTCTTATATTTGTTTTTTTTTCTTTTGATAATTTCTGTTTTCTAAATCATTTTTACATAATCAAATCCTGCCATCTGTGAACCTTTGTTCATTGTACACTGGTTTTGGGAAAACCTCTAATCTTATTTGTTTCCCTGGAATGATGCCCTGATTCAACTGATACTTGATTAGAAGCACTGGTGCATTTGGCATTTTCTAATTCTTTTTCATGGTGCACATTTATGTAACTAAAAAAGTAGAAACCAATTTAACAATTTAACTCATGAAAGTAATGAGTTACCTCAACACTTGGCATTTGTGCAGTGAAGGTTCCAGCCTTTGGAGCCCTTCAGACTGAATATAGCAGTTCCGTAGATCCAGATGTTTTATTGTATGACAAAGTCCAATGGCATGAGACAATACGGCACAGTCAATTGGGCTCAGTTGCAAAGCTTTCTGTGAGTCCGAATCCCCAAATTGAAGTCTTTCCACAGACCCCAATGTGGTCTGTGCCAGGGCTTTATTCTGGGACTCAAACAAATAGTGCAGAGTATTCAGAAGATCCCTTTTCCCACTTTTGCTTCCAGTATTACCAATCTGTTTTTCAACCTTCTCCTGCACCCAGTCAATAACTCGGCAGGTTGTTTGATGAAGAAATGGACCGACAAGCTCCTCCAAGGGCCGAGCTGCCTGGGGGGAGGACAGTCCAGCGACAAAGCGAAGAAATATCTCGAATCTCCCATCCTCCTTGCTCTGAACGTTATTGAGCAGTTCCTGGATGTCCTCGAGATTGGGAGTCAGGAATTGTGCGAGTGCAGCTACAAACTCTTGGATGGTGAGATGCAGAAACGTGTAAACCACACACCGGGCAGAATCATTCCTCTCAAAAATTTCCAACATGAACCCAGACAGGAACTGTGAAGGCTGAAGATTATATTTGATCAGATCCTCATTTCTAAAGACAATCTGTTTCTCAAAGACACCTGTCAAGGCCATCTCACCGATCTTCAGTAACACATCACGGGGGTTTTCAATCCCTCGGCCGTGGTTTTTCAGAAGGTTGTAAATATAGTAGGAATATAGTTGGGTAATGGTCCTGGGTACTTGCTGCTGTTTCCTGTTTCCTTGTGTATAGAAGGGACCCAGTGAGAGACAGAGAATCCAGCAGTAGGAAGGGTTGTAGCACATGGTGTACAGGATCTCATTCTCTTCCACATGTTTGAAAACAGCTGCTGCCACCGTCTGATCTCCAAAGCACTTTTGGAAATATTCTTTCCGTTCTTCCCCAACAAATCCAAGTATTTCAGCCCACACACTAATGTCAGCTTTTTCCAATAATTGCAGTTCACTTGGTCGGCTGGTCAATAATACTGAACACCCTGGGAGGAGTTGCTTTTGTATTAAACTGCTGACAATATCAGACACTTTGCAGGGGATCTCTGGGTCCATGCATATTGATTGAGGTGCTGCATCTGACTGACTGTCAAGAAATTCGATGCTGTCCTTGAATTCATCTAAACCGTCAAATATAAACAGCAAACTGGCTGGATTTTTCCAGAGATCTTCCACAAATTTCTCCAAATAAGGATAGAACAACAGAATCATTTCTTTTAAAGTCGATTTCCAGTTAATAGTATTCAACTCATGGAATTTAAAACTGAAGACAAATTGAAAATGTGGGTAAATGTTCCCACTGGCCCAGTCGTAAACTATCTTTTGTAGTAGTGTTGTCTTCCCAATTCCTGGGACTCCACTGACAACGACGGAACAACCTGAATGAATTTGTACAACTTGTCCCTTTCCAGTATGGCACTGATAGTCTTGTGAAAAGCAACTTCGGAACAATTGATCGATGCGTATTTTTTCCAGTTCCCTCCGGAGATGCATCTCTCTCCATTCTTCATGATCCCTGCCACGTGCAATAAGTTCATGCTCTATCAGTTTTCGATGACGAACGGGAGAAATAATTGTCAGCTCAGTGTACCGTGCATTCAAATGAGAAATTTTAACCTTCTCCTTGATTAGAATAGTGTTCAAATCAAGTGTTTCATTTCTCTGTCGCAGTATCTCTTTGTGTTGTTCTTGAGCATCTGCAATGAGGACAGGCAGTTACGGTACCATTTGGACAGATGATAAACCACATCATAATTTGGTTAACACTTTAAATAATGATTCACAGCAGAAAATGAAATGATGTTGCTAATTTTTTTTTCATTTATGACAATATGAACCTGTCATATTGTCATACTAAATGTAGTTGGGCTGAAAATTGAATAAATGTCAAGTTGAATGAATGAAGAGTTGAGATAGTGGTCAATTGTTTCATACGTACAACCCTCAAAAATGTAAACTTCAAAATGGAGCACTTTTGGAAGTGAGAAGCAGTAGTAAAAGAAAGAAAATGAATGGTCATGTTTTCTCATGATCAGGCAAGCGGGAATCTTATGGACAGGACGGTTGTAATAACTACAGATAAAGCATTACTGCCGATCATAAAGATTATAAGTTTGCCATCAATTTTTAAGAGTGTGGAGGTGATGTTGAACTTGTACAAGACACTTGTTAGAGCTTAGCTGGAGTATTGTGTACAGTTATGGTGCCATATAATGGGGAGGGTGTCAATGTATTGAAAATAGTGCAAAAGTGATTTACAAGACTGGCTCCAATAATGAGAAACTTCAGTTTCGAGGATAGATTGAACTGGTTTCCCCATTATAAGAAGGATATTGTTAAGCTAGAGAAGGTTCAGAAGAGATTTACCAAGATGGAGGGTTTGAGTTAAAGCAGAGGATGCATAGAATCCCTACAGTGTGGAAACAGGCTCTTCAGCCCAACAAGTCCACACTGAACCTCAGAGCATCACACTCAGACCCATCCCTCTGTAACCCAGAGGGTCCTGCACCTTGTTGTCTCGAATTCTCCAGCATCTGCAGTTCCTACTACCTCTGTAACCCACCTAATCTACACATCCCTGAACACTATGGGCAATTTAGCATGGCCAATTTACCTAAACTGCACATCTTTGGACTGTGGGAGTAAACCAGAGCACCCAGAGAAAACCCACGCAGACACAGGGAGAATGTGTAAACTCCACACAGCCCGAGGGTGAAATCGAACCCAGGTCCCTGGTGCTGTGAGGCAACAGTGCTAATCACTGAGCCACCATGCCAACCCTAGGCTGGGGCTTTTTTTCACGAGAGCATAGGTGATTGAGAGGTGACATTCTCAAGGTTTATAAAATAATGAGGGGTATAGATAAAGTGAATGGCTAGTGTCTTTTCCCTAGGATGGGGAATTTCAAGACGTGAGTACATATTTTTAAGATGAGATGACAAAGATTTAGAAAAGACGTGAGGGGCAATGTTTTTATACAGAGAGTGGTTCGCTTGTGTAATGAACTTCTAAAGGAAGTGGTAGATGCGGGCACAGTTACAATGTTTAAAAGACATTTGGATAAGTATATGAATAAGAAATGTTCAGAGGCATATGGGTCAAGCCCAGGCAGGTGGGATTAGTTTAGGTAGGATTATGGTCAGCATTGACTGGTTGGACCAAAGGGTCTGATTCCGTGCTGTATGACTCTATGACTCTATGATTCTAGGTTGGACTTGTTCTCCTTGAAGAGAAAAGTCTGAGAGGTGGTTTAAAAGGGGTTTACAAAATCAGGAATGTGCTGGATATGGTAGATATGGAGAAGCTGTTCCTTTTCCTAAAAGAAACAACAACAAGAAGGCACAGATTTAAAGTGATGTGCTAAAGAAGTACAGATGATGTGGAAACAAATACAAAGAGAGCTGTTAGGGACTGGAATGCACTGCCTGAAAATGTGTTGGAGGCAGGTTCTACTGATGCATTCAAGAGGACATTGAATGATTGGAAACTCACAGTCTTAAAGCACAGAGAGAGCTATTGCGTCTGTACTGACCTATCTATACGAATCTCACTTTGCCCCACTAGGCCGTGGCCTTGAATGTTAGGACATTTTAAGAGATAGTCCAAGTACTTTTTAATACATTGTGAAGCTGCCCACTTCTATTATACCCCAGGCAGTGCATTCTAGACCCCACCATTCTCTGCGTGAAATAAACACTCAAATCCCCTCTGAACCTCCTGCCTTTCACCAAAGAAGTGCATCCCTCCCTGTTATGAACCCTTTAACTGAGGGGAATAGCTGCTTCCAATCCATTCTGTCCATAATTTGAAAAACCTCAATGAGGTCACCCCTCAGCCACCTCTGTTTGAAAGAAAACAACCCAAACCTACCCAGCCTCTCTTCACAGCTAAAATGCTCCATCCCAGGCAATAACTGGTGAATCTCCTCTGCAGCCCTTCCAGTGCAATCCCATCCTTCCTAGAGTATGGTGACCAGAACTGCACACAGTACTCCAGCTGTGGTCTCATCAAAGTCATGTACAGCTTCAACATAATCTTCCTGCTCTTATAATCTATGCCTCGAGTAATGAAGACAAATGTCATTATGATAGAAATGTTTTGAGTTCCTTTGATGGAAATAGTGTGCAAGTGTATGGGGAAAAGTCAGTAGATTGTCACAAAGTAAAATGATGTTCGTTTGAAGAGCCAGTGCTAGCACAATGAGCTCAATACTCCCTTCTGTGATTTCTGCGATTGTTAATTCCAAGTTTAACATATTGGCGGCAAACACAAAGAGATTGTGAAGACAATGTACGTATGTACAATAACTGGAAAGGCTCAGCAAGTTCAGAAGCAAGTCAAAAATCCCATTTCAACCTGAAACAATCTCTCTGCTTCCACAAATGTTTCCGGATCTGAGCATTTCCAACATTTTTTTTTCTCTATTTCAGATTGCCAAAATCTTCAGTAAATTGTCTGTTTTACTCAGTAGTTTTGAATCTGGACTTCACTTCTTAACTGATTGTAGAATCAAATGAAAGTAGCAACTGCTGTTTTTTTTTAAATGTACAGTTTAAGGGAAAAGGTGATAGAATAGAGGAATAGAAGTGATTTTCCAGATATTTGGAAGAACTAGGAAGAGAACAAAGGGTGAACAGCATTTTTGTCTTATATCATTGCACTATTTTCACAATTCATTAGTCAGCTAATCCATTAGATCATAGAACGTCTATTCTTGAAAACCAACAAACCTGAATTTTTGGATTACTGCATGTTTTTGGCAACAAATATTTAATCACAGTGGTGGCTGTGTAATCACAACATGAACAAGCTGACCAACCTTAACACAAAATTATATTTTTTAGACACATGATTGCAAATGAGCATGAAATATAAAATTAGATCAATTCTGTCACATCATCCCTTGATAATTTCATAAGTGAGCAGCAGGAGGGAGTGGGATTTGGTATTGTGTGTGAGGCAGAAACTGGGTGTGATCCTGGAAGTAAAGCAAGTTGAATCATATTTTTAGATTAATATGCAGTGCATGTTATATTCAATGTTGCTTAATCAAATGGAGCTGTAAATCAAGTTGGCATCAGGCCATTGGCAATAGGTTTCCCCTTACTTGGTATCTTTGCCAGCTACAAAATTCCACATCTAGAAATGTGTAAGAAAGTGGTTAGCACCAAACCTTTCATCAAACAAACATGTCAAAAGATGTCATTGGTTTCAATATCTTGACCTACCCTTCAAGTATTTGGGCAGCTCTGTTATCTCTTCCCTGCAGTCTGCATAATGCGCCACAGAAGGACCTATTTGAAACAAATAACTTTCTGTAAAATCAGATATAAGAGTAATTGGAGCACTGTACATGTTTTGAGATTGAATGCTAGAGTCAGTGTGGAATTACACAGTACCAATTTGCTCTATTTCTGCCAATATTTTGTCCAACTTTGGGACACCATTACGCATTTTCACAAAGGATTTCCACATCATCCTTCGGGCTCCAGCATCTTTTTCTATTACCAGGTTCAGAAGAAGTTTGGTGCTTTCTGCCTGTTCTCCATTGTCTGCCAGTTCAGTGACTTTCTAGAAATAACAAGAAACAACATATTTTATAAAGAGCGAATATTCAATAAATGCGTTACTTCAGTTAGTAAAACGAATCAAATGTGTAACAGAAGAAGAAATTACACTGCATCATGTAATTTTTGGCATTAATTAAAAATCAATCAAGTTACATTCCAGGATATTAACATGCTAAAACTTTCTTGGGGCAACATACTGCTAAAGTCACTGGGCTAGTAATCTGAAGGCTAATGCTAAGATAACAAGGTGCAGAGCTGGATGAACGCAGCAGGCCAAGCAGCATCATAGGAGCAAAAAGGCTGACGTTTCGGGCCTAGACCCTTCATCAGAAATGGGGGAGGGGAAGGGGGTTCTGAAATAAATAGGGAGAGAGGGGGAGGCGGATAGAAGATGGATAGAGGAGAAGATAGGTGGAGAGAAAACAGACAGGTCGAAGAGCCAGTAAAGGTGAGTGTAGGTGGGGAGTTAGGGAGGGGATAGGTCAGTCCAGGGAGGACGGACAGGTCAAGGGGGCGGGATGAGGCTGGTAGGTAGGAGATGGGGGTACGGCTTGAGGTGGGAGGAGGGGATAGGTGGGAGGAAGACCAGGTTAGGGACGAGCTGGGCTGGTTTTGGGATGTAGTGGGGGGAGGGGAGATTTTGAAGCTTGTGAAATCCACATTGATACCATTGGGCTGCAGGGTTCCCAAGCGGAATATGAGTTGCTGTTCCTGGCATCGTTGTGGCACTGCAGGAGGCCCAGGATGGACATGTCATCTGAGGAATGGGAGGGGGAGTTGAAATGGTTCGCGACTGGGAGGTGCAGTTGTTTATTGCGAACCGAGCATAGGTGTTCTGCAAAGCAGTCCCAGAGCCTCCGCTTGGTTTCCCCGATGTAGAGGAGGCCACACCGGGTACAGCGGATGCAGTATATCACATTGGCAGATGTGCAGGTGAACATCTGCTTGATGTGGAAAGTCTTCTTGGGGCCTGGGATGGGGGTGAGGGAGGAGGTATGACGGCAGGTGTAGCACTTCCTGCGGTTGCAGGGAGAAGTGCCGGGTGTGGTGGGGCTGGAGGGGAGTGTGGAGCGGACAAAGGAGTCACGGAGGGAGTGGTCCCTCCGGAAAGCAGATAAAGGTGGGGAGGGAAAGATGTCTTTGGTGGTGGGGAAGTGTCGGAGGATTATGCGTTGGATCCGGAGGTTGGTGGGGTGGTACGTGAGGACGAGGGGGATTCTTTTTTGGTTGTTATTGCGGGGACAGGGTGTGAGGGATGAGTTACGGGAAATGTGGGAGACACAGTTGAGGGCGTTCTCGACCACTAAGGGGGGAAATTGCGGTCCTTGAAAAACTAGGACATCTGAGATGTACGGGAGTGGAATGCCTCATCCTGGGAGCAGATGTGGCGGAGGCGAAGGAATTGGGAATAGGGGATGGCATTTTTGCAGGAAGGTGGGTGGGAAGGGGTGTATTCTAGGTAGCTGTGGGAGTCGGTGGGCTTGAAATGGATATCGGTTTCTTGGTGGTTGCCCGAGATGGAGATAGAGAGGTCCAGGAAGGAGAGAGCGGTATTAGAGATGGTCCAGGTGAACTTAAGGTTGGGGTGGAAGGTGTTGGTGAAGTGGATGTCCTACCTACTAACCTCATCCCGCCCCCTTGATCTGTCCGTCCTCCCTGGACTGACCTATCCCCTCCCTAACTCCCCACCTACACTCATCTTTACTGGCTCCGTCCCCGCCTCTTCGACTTGTCTGTTTCCTCTCCACCTATCTTCTCCTCTATCCATCTTCTATCCACCTCCCCCTCTCTCCCTATTTATTTCAGAACCCCTTCCCCTCCCCCATTTCTGATGAAGGGTCTAGGCCCGAAACGTCAGCCTTTTTGCTCCTATGATGCTGCTTGGCCTGCTGTGTTCATCCAGCTCTGCACCTTGTTGTCTCGGATTCTCCAGCATCTGCAGTTCCTACTGTCGCTAATGCTCACATGCTGGGGACATGGGTTTGAGTCCTACTTTGGGTGTATGGTGAAAATGGATTTCAATAACACAAAAAAGATCAGGAATTAGTTGACAGAATTGTGAAGATGTGATTACAGTTGAATGTTGTAAAAACAAAAGTGGTTCACTAATGTCCTTTAAGGATGAAAATCAAATCTGCCAGTTTTACTTGCTGCTGCCTACATGTGTCTCCATATTTTCAGGAATGTGTTTTTATCATTACCTGTCCTTTGGAATAACCTAGCAAGCACAATTGCAATTAGTCAATAAATGCTGACAAAAGCAGTGCACACATATTTTACGAAAGAATTAAAAATGACACCTGACAGCAGCTAAGTGTCTTTATTATTGAGACAAAACACTTTGTCATTAATTGTCCAAAGGGATGTGTGGCTCCCACAGTGGAATAGCATGCTTTCAAGTCATAGCGTCTTGTACAGGACAGAGACAGACCCCTCGGTTCAACACGTCCATGCTGACCAGTTATCCTAAATTAATCGTTGCCAGCATTTGGCCTATATCCCTCCAAATCCTTCCATGTACCTATCCAGATGCCTTTTAAATGTTGTAATTGTACCAGCATCCACCAACTCCTCTGGCACCACCCTCTGCGTGAAAAAGTTTCTCCTTAGGATCCTTTTAAATCTTTCCCTTCCCACCTTAAGCCTATGGCCTCTAGTTTTGGACTTTACTACCCTGGGAAAAAGACCTTGACTATTCATCCTATCCATGTTCCTCATGATTTTATAAACCTCTATAAAGTCACGTCTCAGCCTCAATGCTCCAAGGAAAATAGCCCTAGCCTATTCAGCCTTTCCCTATAGCTCAAGGCCTCCAACCCTGGCAACTTCCTTCTAAATCTTTTCTGAACCCTTTCAAGTTTCACAACATCAATCCTATAGCAGGGAGACTAGAATTGAATGCAGTATTGCAAAGGTGGCCTAACCAATGTCCTGTACATCCACAACATGACCTCTCAACTCTATACTCAATATGCTGGCCAACAAAAGCAAGCATACAAAATGTAATCTTCATGACCCGGCCTACCTGCTACTCCAATTTCAAGGAATGATGAACCTGCTCCCCAAGGTCTCTTTGCTCAGCAACACTCCCCAGGATCCTATCATTAAGTGTATAAGCCCTGCCCTGATTTGCCCTGCCAAAATGCAACACCTCACATTTATCTAAATTAAACTCCATTTGTCACTCCTCGGCCCACTGGCCCACCTGATCAAGATCCTGTTGTACTCTGAGGTAACCTTCTTCGCTGTCCACTCCACTCCGATTTTGGTTTCCTAAGCAAACTTACTAACCATACCATCTGTGCTCAAATCCATAAATGGCAAAATGCAGTGGACCCAGCATCAATCCTTGAGGTCACAGGCCTCCAGTCCGAAAAGCATCCCTCCACCACCATCTTCTGTTTCCTACCTTCAAGCCATGTTGTGTCCAAGTGGATAGTTCTCCCTGAATTCCTTGTGACTGAACCTTGTTAACTAGTCCATCATGCAAAACCTTGTCTAACACCTTGGTGAAGTCCATATAGACAATGTACACCATTCTGCTTTCATTAATCTTCTTCCTCACTTCCTCAAAACAGTTATTGAGACATGATGTCCCATGCACAAAGCTTTGTTGACTATCCCTAATCAGTCCTTGCCTTTCCAAATACGTGTAGATCCTGTCCCTCAGAATCCCGTCCCTCAGAATCCCTTCCAACAACTTCTCCCACCATTGGTGTCAGGCTCACCGGTCTATTGTTCCCTGGCTTTTCCTTACCACCTTTCCTAAATAATGTCACCACATTAGCCAAACTGCAGTCTTCCAGCACCTCACCCATGGCTATTAATGATAAAATATTTCAGCAAACAGCCCTGCAATCACTTCCCTAGCTCCCCACAAAGGTCTGGGATAGACGTGATCAGGTCCTAGGGATTTATTCACCTTCATGCATTTTGAGACGTCAGCACCTCCTCCTCTGTAGTACGGACACTTTTCAAGATATCACTATTTAGTTCTCCAAGTTCTCTGGCTTCCACTCTCTTCTCCACAATAAAAACTGACAGGAAATACTTGTTTAGTATCTCCTGCGGTTCCACATGTAGATGGTCTTATTGATCTTTAATGGGCCCTGTTCTCTCCCTACTTACTCTTTTATCCTGAATTTGTAGAAACCCTTTGTATTCTCCTTAACCCATTTTGCCAAAGCAATCTCATATCCTCTTTTGGCCCTCCTGATGTCCCTCTTGAATATACTCCTACCACCCTTATACTCTACTAGGGATTCACTCAATTCCAGCTGTCTATATCTGACATATGCGTCCCTTTTTTGTCTTGACCAGAGCCTCCATTGCTCTAGCTCTCCAACATTCCATACACCCGCGAACCTCCCCCTTCACACTAACAGGAACAAAGTCTCATTATCTCATTTTTGAAGGATTCCCACTTTCCAGCCATTGGCCTTCTTCCAATTTAGAACTTTAACTTTTAGATCATGTCAATCTTTTTCCAAAACTATTTTAAAACTTATAGAATTATGATCACTGGCCCCAAAGTGCCCCCCACTGACACCTCAGTCACTTGCTCTGCCTTATTTCCCAAGAGAAGGTCAGGTTTTTCTCCTTCTCTAGAAGGTACATCCACATACTGAATCAGAAAATTTTCTTGTACACACTTAACAAATTTCTCTCCATCCAAGCCCTTGATACTATGGCAGTCACGCTGTATGCTTAGAAATTTAAAACCCTTTCCATTACAGCCTTATTATTCTTACAGGCAACTGAGATCCCCATACAAATTTGCTTCTCAATTTCACACTGACTATTTGGGGTCTATAGAACAATCCTAATAAGGTGATTGTCCCTTTTTCATTTCTCAGTTCCACCCAAACAGCATCAGTCATCATACTCCCAGGAATATCCTCCCTGAGTACAGCCGTAAAATTGTCCCTAACCAAAAATGCCACTCCCCCTCCTCTCTTGCTCCCCTTTCTATTCTTCCCATAGCAGCTATACCCTGGAACA